ACCCCTCACCCCCCAGCCATCAACTTTGGTTCAGATTCTCTTTTCTTCTACTTCGGCAACCCTTTGAACTTACCAAACAGGTGCTTTTCGACATCATCCTGCCTTATCAGTCACAAGAGAAAAAGAGATGGCCCTTGCAACATGCCTAGGAAATAGAATTAGTGCCCTCTACCCCCTACCTAAACTCCTAAAGATAAAACATTATTTTCTGTCTCTCCTGAGCTATGAGGCAAGCTAGCTTGATAGTCATCCCACCAGTCACTTGTGCCTCCCAGTCAGGCGTCCACTGCAAGGGGAGAAGATTTCGCAGATAATGTGGGTGAATGCCGGTGACTGCTCTCCTAAGCCACTCCAATCTTCTTGTTAATTTTTATTTTGGGAAGAATGTGTGGTTAGATACACTCCCATTCCTTCCCTCTCCCTGCCCCCACTGGCATTTCTTGACTTCTTCTGGGATTGCCCCTCACCTTTGAAATTGCTATGGTTGTGTCTCCCTCTCCTGCTGGTTCTCCTCTGCACCTTCCTTATCGGGCTCTTATAATTGTATTGGCAGGCCCTGCCTTATTTGTCCAATGAACTGACAATTCTTGAGCTGATATCCCATCATATGACCTCTTCACAGCGCAGAGACCAAAATTACTGTGTAACCAGGGGGCAATAAACCACACCTGATAAGATGAAAGGCTTTCGGCTTTTTCCAGATTGGAGATACACAAGAGGTGGTGGGGGCGCTGGGGGAAAGAACAATGAAAGAGGTAAAAAATGGTGTAGCCGGTCGTGATGAAGAATATTTAATTATCTGATTTTATTAATCAAACTTCTCCCCAGGCAACAGGGCAGACAAGCAAGTATCTTTCACACTGATGAAATGCTTGGGGTAGAGAGTGGGAAGTGCTTTTCTTTGTTCCCTTTGCATCCCTCTGCCCAGTGGCTCAAGGGAGCTGTCTGTGTAAAGGAGGATCTTGTCCCTTCCTGGTGGTATGATGAGGTGGCAGCTGCTGCGTGGGTGCAAAAGGTCTTGTGGCCCTCTCTGTAAGCAGAGGACACCTTGCCGTTTCAATCGATGTGCGCAGGGGGATGCCAGTCTGGCCAAGCTGTCCTCTCCTGCTTTGCTGCAAGTGCCTGTAGTTCTGGCTGGGCACACAGAGAGGGACATCTTCCCCTTCTCTGCTTAGGCAGAATGGGAGAGTGGGTAATTTATGGGCTGAGAGGAGGTGAGCGTGTCATTTGTCTGTGGAGGGAAGGGAAAGAAAGATGCTCTGAATCTACACTCTGGATGAAAACTGCCTATTTAATAACAGGGTTCCCCTTTTTCCTCATGATTCCTGATTCAAAACCCATGAAAAAGCACAATTTACCTAAGGCACTAAAAAAGGGGCGACTCTTCTTGCTTTTACTGGCTTCCTATAGAGCAATGGCTTCAAGTCTTATCCTTGACCCAGCCTCCACTGTATTAATTTAGCATATATGGCAGTGCCTGGACTCTCTGATGTTTACCGTGCTACCTTTTATCCGAAAGCTTTCAGGCACAGGACAACCAGCTCTAGGGACCAGGAGCCCCCGTTTTTTAAGCCTCCCTCCCCTGCTGTCCATTTTTCCAAAGGCTCTGTGTAAGTGCAGAAGTGAAGCCCATGGATTTGTCTGCTTCAGTTGCCAAGTGAAGGCCAAGAAAGGACACATTTTCCTTTGCTGTGGAAAGCTTTGGCTTTGGTTTGTTATTAAAGCCTCTTTATGTTCAATTGGCTCACTTCTTGCTGCAGGAGGAGGAGGAGGAGGAGGATTTCAGAGGAAAGTCTGATAGGTCCCAACACTCCTTATGAGCAGACTTGTATCTTTGGAGGTTGCTGGCTGGGCAAATTAGCCTAGAGACTCTTAGGGCAAAAAATATACCTCCTATCCCTCCTCTTTGCTCCAGCTCCATTTTTGCTGAGTTAAATACACACCGCTCTGAAAGGAAGAAATGTAGCCTTCTGGCAGTTGTGTCTCTATGAACGCTCACACCAGCTCCCAAAGAAATCCATGTGCCTCTGCGTTAAAAATTTTCTGAAGAAAAGAGAGCTGAGACAGGCACACTCCAAGTTTTCATCTCAGTGAAATACCTTTACTCAGTGATCACACTGACAACACGTACCAAGTGAAACCAGAGCACCTCCACATTCAGAGAGTATACGCTGCCTGCCTCCACCGCCACCGACTCGCTCTGGGTAGGCACCCGCTGTGACAACGCTGTAGCCTCATGTCACAAAATCAAACCATGCATGTTTGTATAACTATTCTGTCTTAGTCTGCGACTTTAAACCTCCCTGCTGCTGGCAGGGAGAAGTTGGTTTTCTCTGTGCGTTTAAATGAGATGCGCACATGCAAATTTACAACTTGAAAGCTTCCTTGTGAAGGCCTTATTTTTGTTCTGTCTTATTGTATTGTTCTTTTTATTAAAACTGAAGGCAATGCCAACTGAGAAATATATTTTTGTTCTTCTATATAGAAAAGCACAACAAGCACTAAAGTAGGAAATAGGATGAATAAGTGACAACTCTTGAAAGGGGATTAGAAAGCATCAGTGTAATGATGCATAAATCCCATGTTTTGCGTACAAAATTTCTTCAGAAAAAATTCAATTTGATATCAAAATGTTTAAGTAATACCAAAAGACTTGAACATTTTAATATTTTTTTAATACAAAAAAGGAAAAATAGTGATAAATACTATTTCATTAACGAAAAAATGAAATACTTTCTTTGGAATGACTGCTAGTTTGGAATTTCTTTGCTTTGTATTATGTTAAAATAAAGATGAGTGGCAAAAAATAGAAGCTTGAAATGCAAATGAACATTTTGCAAATTAAAATAGTTCAGCTGACCCCCTTTTTCAAATGATTGACTTGCTGAAATGTAACAAATTATTGATGTTCAAAACAAGAAATTATTTACTTCTAAATTACCAAAGAATGAAGAAGTTATTTTTCTGCCAAGTTATAATACGATGATTTTTGTAGGGTAGTTTGGGGATAGTTTTACATTTCTGCTTGACCTGCAAATGTAGATGACTCTCATTTGTTACAATTATTGTGCTACCTGTCTAATTCAGTCTATAAATTCCCTGAGGCAGGAAACACAAGTTCTCCTGGGGCTGCTGAGCTCTGAAGGCAACTCTTTACACCAGAAGGCAGCTGTCTAGAACAAAATCATGCTGTGTTGATTTTCTCAACTCGTCCTGGCTATGCCAGGCAAATCTAGAGGCCTGTGAGGTTTTTTAAATATGGTGTGCTTTCAGAAAGTGAAAAATCCTGGACATGCAGCCTCGAAATCAACTTGGGATCAATATCTGGGAGCTTTTTGTCCTATATTGTCCGTCTTGAAGAGGAAGAAGAACTGTGTTTGTACTGTCAGTCAGGCAGCATGACCCTTCCTGCCCCACTGGTCTCTTCCTCTGGATAAAGATGATAAGGGGACGATATTCCACCCAACGCCTCTGAAACAACTCCTTTAGACTCCCACTTACTTCTGTATGTGATTCAGCAGCAGAGCTGCCCAGTGTTTGTGCACAGCATGGCTGCTGCAGCTCACAACACCTCATCTCCGAGGGCTTGTGCTCACTCTGCTGTTCAGAGCACGCCTTCCAGCTCAGGCAGTCAGGGGCACTGGTGCGTAGGTGCTCTGGCAGTTGCCAGCGACGGGTGCAGCTGCGAATTGCCCGCATCACCTCTGGAGCCTCGTGTCCTTGTAGGTTGTCTTCCATCCTTTACGCCTTACTGGACCCTGATGATCTCCCCAGTGACAGCTGAGCTGCTCTGATCTTCTCAAAGTTCAACAGCTGGCAATGATCTAGCAGAAAGCCCATGCAGCCTGCCTTCTGGAGTCCTTTTAACCTCAGATTTATTAGCCCTGTTGTCTCTGTAGATTTCTCAACAAGCTCATAAATTAGAAATATTAATAAAAGGGACACTGTAGGTTTAAACTGATAACATTTATTATGGGGTTTTTATAGCACAATTATTATCAATTGACATTTAAAATGGCATCATAATCCATCAAGGTGAAATGGACTTAGAGAGATATTTCTCCCAGGCCAAAAATAATAACAGCAGCAACAGCAGGATGGCAAGAGAGGAAGCACACAAACGGTTTGAGTCCAGGTCACTGATTACATAGTTTGGAAGTGGTTTTTAGCAACTTCACCCTCTGTTTAATCCATTCTTGTATCTCGTAATGCTGCTTCTCCCCTGCCAGGCCCCTCAAGC